GTTTAAATTAGATGCAGTGAGAACTTTTCTGGTTCGAAACAATTTGGAAAACACCAATTGCGCTAGATAAAACGTAGATGGGCTCACAACAGTGTAATTTATTTTCATGCCTAATGATCATTGCTTACTGGAAAGTAGGTAATAAACGTTCGTAAATGCAGAACTATAATAGATTTGCTAACAAACTGGCGTAATTATATTTGGTGCGGAATGTTTGCGCGCTAGTTTCACAAAATTCTTTATATCCATTAGGCAGTTTTATTTCATAGTACGTGTATCTCGTGCGAGTAATCGTCTGTCTAACGTTACGACCAAAATACATTTTTAATCGGCAGTTTTGAAAATTCATCAATGGAATTAATCTACGGTATTAATGAAGCTGGTAGACATGAAGCTGGTGTTACTGTTGAAAGAGGAAAAACCGCATGACTTTTGTTTACTCGCGTCGAAGTGAACAGCACCGATGCGCACGATGTGTGCAAATCGAATAAAATAAAAATCGGAGTGCAAGACGACTGGTGTTTTCTTCCTGACGACATCGCTGACTCCTTCGACTCGTTTCTTGTCATACCCGGTCGGCGTACTTTTATCCCCGTGTACGCGTGTTTACCGGTACACGAACGCTCGTCGATAGGACCGATGGTACGAGCCAGCGCGCACACACGCGAGACGGGAAGGCGAAGAACGCAGATTGCTAGAGGCGCTGTTCCGCTGACCTACTCTACGATTATCACTCACTACAGCCGATCGCCGGTGCAGGTGCGTGGTGTGCGTTAACTAGCGTTGCCAACTATACCTTCTCGCAGAAAGGAGGACGCCGCGCGGGACGTAATCAAATAAACGCTCTCGGTCCTTTAGCTCCGAACGAGACGGAAGTACCCTTTCGATTAGGAACGTTTCGATCAACGATCAGCGAGTTAAGGTTCTAAAAACGACTTGTCTGTGAAATTATTCTTACGACAGATGAAAGAAAACGATTGTTAGACCATAAATCTGTATGCATTAATTATTTAATAGTTTGCTGCGTTAACAATCTGCCAAATGTGGTACCGTTATTTCTCTAAAGGAATAGTCAGGTCTTATCTCATGACAATTAGTCAAATGAAAAATAAACGCACTTCGATACGTTATCTATTAAGAAGATCGGTTAAAGTGTACAAATTATTCATTAAACAGCTTTCTGTAATTGTTCGAATACTTTCGTGAGTCAGCGTATGTAATTACGGTAACAATGGAAGACAACGAGTCCTCGTTCGCTACTTTCATCACGATGATCTTTCGTTACACGCAGACACACATGGTAATCGTGTGCAGAACGTCCGATCGCGAGATTAACAGTTAATAAGGAATCTCGAACAAACGGCGAGGATGCTGATGAGTTCTGGCTGGCAAGTAATCCGCGGGCGGCGAAAGTATGGCAGATCAATTTCGCGATCGTGCCACTGATCAAGCGTGACCGACTCGAAAGCGAGCACGTTTCCTTCCTTGATCTTTGAGCTTCTTTAATCTGTTCTATCGGTTTTTTCTTCCTGCCTCGGACACCAACGTCTGGCCGTGTTCTTTTTTTTTTCTCCCCGGCATACGCCTCTGGATACGTACGGCTTACTCCGTTTCCATCCGAGCCGGTACTCGGAAACTTTCTAGCGGGTAAAAAGTCGTCCCATTCGTACGCTCGCTGGAAATTTTTGGCAGCGACTTTTTACCAGACCGCGGTAACGAACACAATCTCCGTCGTTGTATCCGATTGACTTAAAAGGCTTCCTCCTCTTGTTTTGGGAAAATTTACTACTCTCGCGCGTTCCTCTTCTTATTTACTGTTAACAGTGTTACTTAAATTATTTCAGATTTATTTTCGTTATGGCCACGTTCATTTCTGGGAAATTCATTCAATTTATACAAGTAGATTTTTATCTTAATTTCACATAAATATAACGTACCGCTATTGCAGTCC